GTACCCAGGGCCAACAAGTACTAGGGTGAACACGAATCATGTTGAACGGACCCAGATTCCGAAATTCTAGTAGAGGAAAAGTGGAAACAGATGTTTAAATAAATAATATGCAAGAATCAGAGCTCCAGATAAGCTGCGTATTTGCGTGATCACGCAATAAAAATAATTGAAAACCCAATGCAAGTGCCCATTGCGGCGTTCTAAAACCCAATTCATGCAAAGGAAACCCCAATAATTTGTCAAAACCATGAGTTCTTAACGCTTTTAGTCGCTATCGTGTGTGTTATTTACCCTTATCTATTACATAGTCGTCGAGTAAATCTATTTTTGTAATATTGAAAATCGGAAATGTCCTTTCGTTCTGAAAGTAGAGCGTTGAAAGGGTCCCTGTTGAAATTTTCCGTTGCACATGGTGATGAAAACATTTCGATCTTCTCTGTCTTTATCCAATTAGCGTTAGTCATGTCGTCATAATTCTTTTCGTATTGCTCGGGATTTAACATTAAACTTAGCAATGAATTAAAACGAAAGTAGATTTCCGGTAAAAATATTGAATAGAAGTATGTTTTTAGCTTCTTTTTGAGAGCTGAGGAATTTTGATGAAAAGACTGAGCTAGTGTTATTGCAATGGCGTGTTTGCGTGCCTTAACGAGAACAGGGTTAGAACTCGTCAGAACTAAATCAGTTGGAACATGAAAGGCAAAATCACTTATATGAAGTCAGCATCGGAAACCAAAAGTTCTAATAAGGGACAAGTAAACCCAGATTTATGTAAATAAAATTAATCAAAAACATTGTTAACTCTTAGTTCAAGAGTATATATAATATATATTTCATTTTAGTTGATGAGTGAACACACATATTAGTTTTGATGTAAATGTAGCTTGCCACTTTCTTTGTTTTTGGTCTATTGTTCTGTATGCCTAAGATACATGTAGTTGTCTTATTGGCAATTAATTAAGTGCAGTACAACATTGTCATTCATTTTTTTTATGTTGCAGGATTATTTGTAAATTGAATGTGGTCTCAGTCATTAAACCACCCTATAAACCTGGTCACGGATCTTAAATCTGGGAGCTACTTTTTTTTTAAGTAGGTCTGGAAAACAGGTGATAGGGACTGGCAACACTATCTTACATCACTTAATGTTCACAAATATTACATACAAAATCTGAAAACTATTAGCCACACCTACCCCAAATAAAATGAATGGTGATCATATGTGCTCTAGAAAGGTAAATTAGGTACTGTCCTATTAGTGCAACCAGTAGATATAAGTTATGGAAAATATAAAACTTCGTTTTGAAACCGGACACAAATTAGACATACAATTGCTCGTCAGTGTATAAACCAAATAAAACAGCTATCACATATAAAAGAAACATATTTTATTAATAAGATGGATGAACATCTCTGTTTGATAGAATGTGATTATAACATGCCTAAATTCAATATTGTGTTGATGAAAAAACCCAATACGTTAATAAGGAGCTTGGTGGTGAAAAACCCAATTTGATATTTGCTTGAGGGGTGAATTGGAATTATAATAATGCAATTGAAAAACTATTTCACTCAATTAAGTAAAAAATGGTGGGTTTTTGTGAATTCTTATCTGGCACTCTGAAGAACATCCACGGTAACAAGACATTTCGGCACCCAGACAAATCGGCACCCAAGTCCGAAGACATTTTGGCATCCATTTTGGACATTTCGGGACCAAGACAATTCGGCACCTCGTTTTTTAAAAATATATGTATTAGAAAAATTAGAGAATTGTTGCAGCAGAGACATATAATACAATAATAGACTCTACTAGAGCAAATATCTTGTATTATATGTCTCTGGTTGCAGTAATATTATAATTCGTAGATAAAATATGCATTACAAAAAAAATAATCATCATTTAATTAAACCCTAAATGATTATGTATGTATGAATAAACATCATTTAATTAAATCAAAATTGATTGTTAGATGTGTTGTTGTTTGAATAAACATTATTTAATTAAATCATAATTAATTGTAGTTATGCATTAATCAGTATTTTATGTATAAATCTGAGATCAAAAGTGTATAGCTTGTGTTTGCAGCTTGTGTTCTCGTTTGATCCTTACATCTGTTAAGACAACACAATACCTGAAAACTATATTTTATTGTTTTAATATTAAAAGCAATAAACATAACAGCGTCAGCCATAATGAGTAAATACCCAGAAACATTATAAAGGTAAACACTTTTGGGATTCTTTTTCTTACTCCTTAAATATTATATTATTATTTTTTAATAGAATATGGTTTCTACAGGAACTACCCAAAACATGGAAACATGCAATTATTATCCCACATATAAAACCTGGGAAACCCCACTCCGACCCTTTGTCATATAGACCAATCTCCTTGATTTCAAACTTCAATAAAATTATGGAGAAAATAGTTAATAATCGCTTAAAATGGTATTTAGAAAAAAATAAGTTGTATGCACCCACCCAAAGTGGGTTTAGAAAAAACAGAAGCACATTAGAACAGTGTATTAGATTAGACAATGACATCCAAAAGAGCTTTTTGAAAAAGTTAGTCACTATAGGTGTATTTATTGACTTCCAGAAAGCATTTGACATGCTCTGGAAACATGGTTTGTTGAAAAAAATTATTAAACTTGGAATTAACAGCTTATTTATGATAATTTATTATTTATTATATGTATTACATGTATGCATAAACTGTTGAATATAATTATAATAAATATAATAAATAAATATTATTAATATTCTAGATGTGTTTTATTGATTTGGGATACTATGGTAATAGAACTATGCATTACATTAAAACTAGTACATGAACATTAAAACTAGTACATGAATGGTGAAATCTATAAAATCTGAATGTTCATTGTATCAGGAAAAAGAATACACACAAATAAGACACCTATCAAAATGACTTAAGCTGCAGTACAGTCTTCACAAATAAATAACAAAAGGAATAAACCACTTATAATAAGATACTTCTTCGAAGATACCATATACAATATTGATAATAATGTTGTAAATAGTGCAGGAAACAAATTAGTAATTTGTAAAAACATAATTGTTATATACATGTATTAACACTAAACTTGCAAATTGAGTTCAGGCCCTCATACATATATCAGTGCCAGGAAGTTTTAATTTTTGGTTCACTATATTATTTAGATCAAAGATATATAATTTATAAGGTGCCGATTTGTCTATGTTAGGGAGCTACCATTTGATTTTTATGGGGGGGCTAGGATGAAATTTGAAAAAAAAAGGCAGGACAGGACTTTTCTTCTTCTTCTTTCAATACAGAGTCGGACTCTTCTTGAGTGTATAATGACTCTTGCTCGTATAATCATGAGGCCTTTCCTCCTCCTTTATCAAAACCAGCAGTAACTATTTACAGTAATTATTATTTACAAATTAAAACTATATACATCTGGGATCTAAGGAGTTCTAGGTGTGAGAAGCTCCTGTCAAGGCCTCTGGCAGGATGGTTAGGTTGGCCTTGAACTCTTCGAGTGTAGCTGATGTTGTGGCTTTTTCCGGTAGTGTGTTCCATTCCTTGGTTGATCTTGGGAAGAAGGAGTACCTGTACTGATCTTTTAGAGTACGCTGTTGGTGTATGCGGTGACCTCCTCTGGTCCGTGAATCTCCAGGTTTGTAGTAGTTTGATCGGTCAATATCTACCAATCTATTGTGTATCTTGTAGGCCACTGTGAGGCGGTCTTTGCAGCGGCGATCTTTAAGAGGCTCCCATCTTAGTCTCTCCATTAAAGAGCTGACACAACCTGGGGATACGTCTTGGTATTCATTGAACACGAACCTGGCTGCCCTCCTCTGCACTTGTTCTAGATCTTTTTCAAGGTTTTGTTGGTAGGGGTCCCATACAGAGGAAGCATATTCAAGATTTGGTCTAACCATGGTGATGTAGGCATTGGCTTTGAATTCTGGTTTACACTGCCCTAGGTTCCTTCTCAGGAAGCCTAGTGTCCTTGATGCTTTGCCTACCGTCTGGTTGATATGTGTCTTCCACTGTAGGTCGTGATTTATGGTGACTCCCAGGTATTTCCCATGCTCAACTGCATCTAGAGTGTGACCATGTAGTTGGTAGTTCCTTATCAGTGGGTTTCTTTTGTTGGTTATCCGTATCACAATGCACTTCTCGGGATGGAAATTCATCTGCCATCGTGACTCCCACTCTTGGAGTGTGTTGAGGTCATCTTGTAGTGTCTGGCTATCCTTTCTGTTCTTTATTTTTCTATAAACTAGGCAATCGTCTGCAAATAACCTTGCCTCAGAAGTTGTTGATTGTTGCAGGTCGTTTATATAAGCCAGGAATAAGAGTGGTCCAATGATTGTCCCCTGTGAGTAAAAAAAAAAAGGCAGGATGAGCAACTTGGCCCAAAAAAAGGCAGGATGACAATTTATGTAAAAAAAGTCAGGATAAACTAATAAAAAAAAAAAGCAGGACCGAATAGAGTGAAAAATAAAAAGGCAGGACAGAGATTACAACTAAAAAAAAATGCAGGACAAAATTTTTCATCCTAGCCCCCCCCATAAAATCAAATGGTAGCTCCCTTAGATGCCGATTTGTCTAGGTACCGATTTATCTGGGTGCCGAATTGTCTTTCGAGGGTGCCAATTTGTCTATGATAGGTGCCGATTTGTCCGGATGCCGATTTGTCTGGGTACCGAACTGTCTAGAATTCAATATCCACAACTTCTCTTTTTTATGCCGATAAAAAAGGCGATATTAGTGAAAATGCAATGAAAATATCAGGTTAAATTTTTTTGAAGTAGCACATGATTAATCCTTGTGGATTAATAAGGTAGAAAAGGTAAAAATAATATTAGGTGCCAATTTGACATTTTCTATATAATTTGCCGGATCAGGTGCCGATTTGACTTATAGTATACCCGGAATTGAACTGCACGGGTACATAGAACTTTTTGGAGGTAAACTTTTTTAAAGGTAGAAATTTAGAGACCTGTAAAAACAGTTCAAACAACAGCTCTTCTGTAACGGTTTCTGGTAAATTTCCAACCCAAACTGTTCGATCAACTTCTCCGTCTGCCATTTTCTATGTTCTGAGAAGAACGTGGGAAAGATACGAATGTCATGATGTTTAAAATAACGTATGAGTGCACGTAAACTCCTCCGTTATTCGAGACACCACTTTGAGAGCACAGTGGAATCCGTGACCGTGTACACTTCCTATTAGAGATTTCATTAAAATAGACATTACTCGACTCAAGAAATTGTATAGTAAGTCTTACCATAGATATAATGGCTATTATATCTATGGTCTTACTATACACATCCTTTCTCGACATTACCAACCTTACTGAACGTATCTCGGCCTACTGCATTGAAACATGACGGAGGGCCGGGATCATAGACTCCATGAAGTTTTTGCTCCGGCGTTGAATACACATACTTGATTCAATTAGATGTTATTTGAAAATTAACCCAATCTACTATGGTAATCTTTACTTTGTCATTGGAATATTTTATTGACAACAACCTTTTAACGGAGTAATTAATTCACGGTGCCTTAATTCACTGCTCTGATCCACTGCCTAACGGCTACCGGTGATCAAATGCACGGATCATTTGATACTTGATCATTTCACTTGGACTATTTACTTTGTTCTCAAGTGGTTTATTCTTAAAACTACTGAATCAAAATTAAGTTTAAAAAATGGAAATAATGAGATCTGAAGCGAGATATGTTATTCTCATTTTTTATTGATAACTTTTAAGGTTAAAAAAGGAGTTTCAAACACGATGGAAATTCCGAATGTAAAAGGTGTACCTACCCACCTAGTCCTTTTTATGCCCGGAGGCACATAGCGGACAAGGACTAGATCTTTCCACCCATCTCTGTTCTGTTCTGTGCTTTCTTTTCTATCTTGCCCCAGCTGATTCCGTGGTCTTTCATTTCAGCTTCAAATGTTCTTCTCCAAGTTGTTTTGGGGCGGCGTTCTTTTTTTCTTTTCCCCTCTGGTGTCCATCTTAAGCTCAGGGTAACTCTGGTCAAGTCCTCGGCTGGTCTTCGTAGAACATGACCAATCCATCTCCATCGATTTTGCATTAGTAGAGTCTCCATGTTGTCGGATCCTGTTGTTTCATGGAGGTCTTTGTTGGTGATCTTGCGTGGCCATAATATCCTTAAGATCTTTCTGAGGCAACCGTTGTGAAAACTGGAAAGCTTGTTGATGTCTTTTTCGGTAATTCTCCAACATTCTGCCCCATATAGCAGCACTGCTAGTACACAACTGTTATATAGTCGAATTTTGGTGTTCTTACTGATGTTGCTAGACTTCCAGATGTGACGTAGCTTTAAAAATGCAGTTCTTTCTTTTCCTATTCTGGCTCGGATGTCTTTGTCTGCTCCTCCTTCAGATGTTACTATGCTGCCCAGGTAAGTGAAAGATGAAGTGCATTCCAGGTGTGCCCCATTCAAATCTATTACAGGACGCTCTGGGATGTTAAGAGGCATAACTTCTGATTTCTTGATGTTGATATTCAGTTCAATCATACTTGCATTCTTTTGTAACTTGGTGGTTTTGTCTTGCATGTGTGTTTCTAGATGTGACAGTAAGGCCAGATTATCGAATCCCTGATATCTCGGCCTATAACAAAATCGGACTATAACAAACTCGGCCTATAACATAATCGGCCTCACAAAATCGGACTATACCGAACTCGGACTACTAGAAGAATATAAGTATGATGTTGGATGTTGTTTTCTTTATTGGAAATTAATTATCAATACTTAATTTGCAATTAATTAATTAATTATGATTTACAATTAATTAAATAATCATTTTGAACATTTTAGAAGCGAGTCATATAAATTACGTTAACAAGATATGTATAAAAAGAAAAGAATAAATTCATTTAATAATGAAAATCTACCACTTATCTGTCTTTTCTGTATTATTATTCGTATATATGTCCCTCTCAAAATAATTTATCATATGCATATCTTATATGATTGAACTGGGAATATGACATCATGCCACGTGTATCGTTGACAACTTTTTAATCACCTGAATTTAAACTAACAACTGGCACATGTACTGTTGACACCTATTTAATCACCCAAAGTGAGAACAAAACTACCTGTAATTACATGAAATTGTAATTAACTAAATATTACAATTTCTTCGAAGTAGCAGCTTGTGTATAACCATAGATATCTATGGTATAACTGACGTTTTCATGTTCTTTTTTTTTTTTATTACAATTCTTATGTAATTATAAGACAGTGTAGTGTATTATATGTTTCTGATCATACTTTTATTGGTTGAATCCCAGTGGTTTGTGAGAAAAAGAAATATCTGTTGTTTTTTCAATTTTACTCCACATCTATTTTGATAAATATGCATAATAAATGAAATATGTATAATAAATGTTTGCGTCGGCTTGTCTTTCTAAAAACATTGTATCTGTTTGATGTGACAATTTAAATATAGTTACTTTTCCATTAATAAAGAATTACAGATAAATGAAATTGTAAAGAAGCTATTCACTGTCAATTAAATTTTTCTTTGTTTGTATACTAATAATGAACACCAAGATTAAACACAATACAAACATGGACACACGCCAATCATTAAAACATCTTTTGTCAATAAACATAACAAACGAGAAAATCACAATAATATTTCAAATAGAAGTTAATTATCCTCATTCAAAAATATCAAATTCAACTCATATAACACATATTTCAATGAAGGATCTAAATTTATTTTCATACATTTCTTTATATTGTTTTTTCAAAAATATTTATCATTTTCTCATAAATTCGTATATAATTTTTAAAATATAAAGATTTTTTTTAAAAGTCAGACAAAAAAAACGTTAACAACTCAATCTACTAATCGTAGTCCGAGTTTGTTCAATATATTTCTGCATATAAATAGTGGTAGGCCGAGTTTGTTATAGTCCGAGTTTGTTATAGTCCGATTTTGTGATAGGCCGATTTTGGTTTAGTCCGAGTTATCCAGCAGAGAGATTATCTTCTAGAGAGTTAAAGAGAGTCCACCTAATGCCTGTGTTGTTACTGCTTATGGAAGATTGCATTACCCAACCGACGGTTATTATGAAAAGAAGGGATGACATAACACAACCTTGTCTAACTCCTGATTTTACAAGAAAACTGGTGCATGTCTGCTGAAGTACCTACAGTGCATCTGAATTCTGTATAAAACATTTGGATAAGTTGTACTATTTTTGCTGGTATCCCATAGCTTCGTAAGATCTTCCATAAGCTTTTTCTGTGTGTACTGTCGAAAGCTTTTTCAAAATCTATGAAGTTTATTATCAGTTGTCTCTGCCATTCTGTGCACTGTTCGATAATATTTTGTAGCACACATACCGGGTCACAACAGCTCTTTCCTTTTCTAAAACTTGCCTGTTTTTTTCTGAGTTTGTTGTCAATTGCTGTTTTAATTCTATCTATCAGTATTTTTTCTGAAATTTTACTTGGAGTTGGTAATAAGGTGATTCCTCTCCAATTATTGCAGTTTGTGAGATCACCTTTCTTAGCCAGTCTTATGATGTTTCCTTCTGACCAGTTTTTAGGTATCTTAATATGTTTCCAAATCTTTCTGAATGGTGGATGTAGAATGTTCGCTGTTAAGGTTGAATCTGCTTTAAATAGCTCTGCTGATAGCTTATCGCTTCCAGGGGCTTTATTGTTTTTGAGGTTCTTAACTGCTCTTATAATCTCTGATTTTGATGGAACTTCTATGTTTATTTCAAGATCATGTTCTGCAATAGGTATGTTTGCTGTTGTTTCTGGTTCTGGCCTATTCAATACTTCTTTGAAATGTTCATTCCATCTACTCGCTTGCTCTCTTTCTGATGTTATTAGATGACCCTGTTTGTCTCTCACTGGCATGTAGGTGTTTCTTTTGTGGCCAAACAGTTTCTTTGTGATCTGATAAACATCACCCATTCTTTGCTCTGAAGCAGCCTTTTCAGCCTCTATCGCCATCCCTTCAATGAAATCTTTTCTATATTTTCTAGTGGCTTTCTTAACTTCCTTATTTCAGTTGAAGTATTGTCCCATTAATCTGTCTTTCAGTCTATCAGAGTGTGTATGGCATATCTTCTTTTTGAGTTCTTTCCTGTTGTCAATCAGATTCCATGTCTCTGGTTTGATCCATTCTTTGTTTTTTTGTCGTTTGAAACCTAAGATTTTTTCACTGGTCTTTTTAAACATTTCTTCCACGTCTTGCCATTGTTCATCTACTGTTTCACTTTCTCCCTTGTTGGTACGATTATCTAGAAGTTGAAAGCGGTTCTTCAGTTCTAATTTGAAGTCATGGTTGGTTTTTATATCTCTGAGTTTCCCTGCGTCAAATCTCTGTACCTTGCTAGGTGTTGATGCTCTCAAAAGTTTGAGTTTGATATTTGCTGTGACAAGATGATGGTCACTTCCTACATCAGCACCTCGCCTTACTCTCACATCTTGTAAAGATCTCCATTTACCATTAATTGATATGTGTTCAATCTGATTTTTATCTCTGCCTCCAGGTGATACCCAAGTCAGCTTATGAACTTCCTTGTGTGGGAACAGTGTTCCACCTACTGTAAAATTGTTCCGCCCACAGAAGTCTACCAGATATTATCCGTTTTCGTTCATGCTTCCACATCCGTGTTTCCCCATTATTTTCTCAAAACCACTGTTATTATGTCCTACTTTAGCATTGAAATCTCCCATGATGATTGTTAGGTCTTTTTTGGGGGATTTTCTCTATCTCAGCTTGGAGCATAATGCATTTCATAGAATTCCATCTTTATTTCTTTATCAGCTTCATTTGTTGGAGAATAGACTTGGATGGTTGATGTCTTTATAGGTTTTGTATTCAGTCGTGCTGTTATTATTCTTTCGTTGACTGGATTGTACTCAATAAGTGATTTTGTAGCTGATTTGTTGAAGATGATGGCAACTCCTCCCTGGTGTTTGTCGTCATTTCTACCAGAGTATATGGTTGTATCTCCTGTGTTTGTCAAGTTTTTGCCAAACCCTGTCCATCTGCATTCACTTATGCCTAGTATGTGCAGCTTGTTTTCGTTCATTTCTCTTAACACTTGAGCTTGTTTTCC